GGCAAGTGTAAATAAAATATTACTTCTGATACTGAAGAAAATTACAATGAGGTCATTGATAATGAAAAGATATCGATCCAAGTTTAGAATTCTGAACACAGCAATTTCAGCAAACTTGGTAACTGAACAAGAATTTATTTCTATCTGTAAAATTAAAAAGAATGTAACAGTTTAAACAACTTACACTGAAAGCAATGTTTCATCAAACAAATAAATACTGAGTTTTTTTTTTTTTTTTATTTTTTTGTCGTTAATTTTGTTTCTTTTATAGTCACAAATGCTTCATTATTTCATAAACAACAATTTCATATTTTTAATTTTATAATTTTTACCTGTATTCTTACTAGATTTAAATTCATGATCTAAAATCTGGAAATTTCCAAAATCCATGATATCCAGACTATTCTGGACTTGGTACTGTATTTGTTTTCGTTTGTGAAAATTTGAATGTAATAAGCAGCTGATTTTATTATCCAGTAAGTTTAATAAGCAATGGATATTTTATTGCACTAATAAATACATTAAGCGCATTGCAAAATGTACTATAATCTTTCATTGCAATTTGTAACTTTTCAAGAAAGTACTATAAAATAATGTAAGAATTTACCTAATACAAAATATTTCAAAATTCTCAATCCATTTCATTGAAAATGCTTCCCTGCATTAAACTATCAGTTTTCTAAGAACAGGATATTTGCTATATGAGTACCTTTGAGGAAAGCTATTAACACAACATAGACTCTTAAAAGATTGCAGAAACCTAAATCTTGTATGCAGATTGAACAGAGCTTGCTATTTCTCAGACAACTTATTTCTGAACTCTTTCACTTATAATAACTGATAGCCTTATACAACATTTCAGTGGAAGAAAGAAAGGCCTAATGTTTCATCTGGACATATTAAAAGAAAATTTTAAGGACCATTCATGTTCTCTGAGGAAAAAAATTATAGATAATAGTTATCTTGATGTGTTACACATTTTCTTAGAGACACAACTAATTTCAGTTGGTATTTATGACACAACTGTGCTCCAATAAGATGACAGATCATAGAATTTTGCGATTATCTTGCTAATTTGTTGGTAATGCATTACCTAATCACTGGATTTTAAGGGACTCATGAAGCATGTGTGCTCTATGTTCATCAAATCTAACCACTTTGATTTCTCTGCTTTGTACTGTTATAAAGTCAGAAATGTACAGGATTAAGATAAGCACTGTCCAGATGAAATTTCACATTCAGTAATGCACACCTTCCATTGTTGGAATAGCTTTTCAGATCAACTTTAGACAGCTGCAAGATTCATGCAGAACTGGAAGAATACATTAAAATTTCTTAATATCTGTGTATTCTACTCTTCTAAGTTGTTATTTCCATCACTAAATTTATTCCTCCTCTTAAAATAGATCAATACTTAACATTTTTTCGGTAATGGAATGAAAACTATGCTTTGTTAAAGGACTATAAGCTCTTAAAGTAAAATATGTTGCTTTTTATAAATTTTGCAGAAATGCCATGAACTGCCTGGATAATTAATAGAGACAGCTACAGCGCCTCTGGGTCTGGATTCAAAATCATGGGGGAGGGGAGTTGGATGTTTTTTAATATTGTATCTTTTTAACAATACATGTCAGAAAGTTCTCTCGTTGCAATGGTAATAAGCATGATATTTTAAGGTTTTTTTCGGCACAATGTTCAGAAAACCTCATTACAACATAAATCGCGTAATATGTATTTTATAACTGTCAAAACTAAGTACTATGCATTAACTAAGTAAGCAGTATTTATTAGTATGCTTTTCTTTTTCCTTTTATCAATAGTCATTGGTTTGAAAAAATCCAAGCATCATTCACCTGACTACAAACTTTTGTGACAGTTACAAAAATACATCTGACTGCAGACAAAATAATAAGAATAAATTTTTCATTCCTGTTCTTAACTTTGTAAAATATTTATGTATTCTACACTTTATTTTTGTAATGAATTTATTATAGTTTAAAGAATAACAAAAATCACAATTATATGAAAGAGACAATATTTTATTTAATAACACAAAAATTTAAATTAGCACTAATAGGAAGTACAGAAATTCTTCTTCTAAAAAGATATTAACATCATAGAAAAATATGTAATGGAAAAGGAAACAGAAATGAAAACTATATGAATAAAAATATATACAGAAAAATATACTAATAATTACAAAAAGAATGGTCGTAAAATGCATAAGGTGATGGAACATGCCATTAGTTGTGCTTGCTAATATTTCATTTCCAAAGGTAAGTAATCTGAGATTTTTTAAAAAAAAAAAAAAAAAAAAAAAAAAACTGTCTGCTTATTTAGCTAAAAAATTTGATTGTCAAAACAAACACTTAATTCCCCCCCCCCTTGAATATCAAAGGGAAAATGAAATATCTCTGAAATGTTTTTGCACTGAGAACTTTAATCCCCTTAACCTCTTAGTTCCTAGCATATCATATGTGATATACTTGTGGGTTCATTGTATCATGTTTGATGTTCTAAAATTTGAAAATCTAATAAATGGTGTTAGAATGCCACAACGTGTAACTGAAATATCTAGAGTGTTACCAGTATTTATTCTATGAATGCAAAATGTATGATGCTAGTTTATATACAGAGCAGAGTTTAGAAACATATTAGACAGTGAAAAGTTTCTTTTGCGAATAAGTAAGGCAATAATATATAACATGAGTCGATGTTTTGAATTTTTAAGTCTTTTCCTTAATAAATAAAAGTACTTTTAAATGGTACAAATAATCGTTATTAGCAGCACTGATTTCATCTTATTTTTCTTTCAATTGTATGAAATCATGATTAAAAATTAATGTATGCAGGGTTGCCACTCAAACAGGAGAATGAAATTCCCTGACTTTTCCAGGTGTGTTTCAAGAAAATTCCAGTCTATCCGCGTAATGTACGTTGGCTGTGCTAAGAGGTAAATTAATTATGGTATTACTTGTATTGTGTAGCAAATTCACTTAATTATTCAATAAATCCCAGGAGGACATTTATTCTTAATTATTCTTGGTATACTTTGTTTGATAATTTTTGTTTAGTTTTCCACTTAAGAAACTTAATAAAATTTAAGATATATACATTGGATAAAAAAATGTATGTTTTATTTAATTATTACTCATGATCATCACCAGTTCAACACGAGGCTAATCCGGTTCCTTATAAATCACAACGCAATGCTAAATAGTTAGGTTAGATTTTAGGTAAATTTAATTCGCGTGAGGTATGTTCTTAAAGGCACCTTAACACTTGAAAACACAAATATAATTATAATAGTTGTTGTTTTTTCTCCACTGAAGATTGAGATTAGAATCTTCCCAATCTGGAATAAAATAAGGCTTTTTTGCAGACGTTCTGCAGCTAAACGAAAGAAAGAAATCTATTTTAATAAATTGAGGTATTTTATATTTATTTTGCAGCATACATAAGGAAAAAATATGTGCATTAAATTTCGTGATGGTATGTCATCATACTACTATAATTAATTTTAGGATTATGCCAGAGAAAATTTCGTGAAATTTGGAAATATTATTTACTAATAATAAATAAATTTAGAGGGAAGAAGCAACATTAAATTATATGAATAACATAAAAATAATTACTTAAAAATTGAATTAGAAGAATCAACGATATTTTTAGCGAATATAGTTATATTACATGGCTAGCCTAGATGACTGATTACTATTTTTTTTATTTTACTGCAAAATGGCAAGGTATTTATTAAAAAGAAAAAAAAAAAAAAAAAAAAAAAAGGGTTTAAAAAGATTTTGCGGTAAAATTCTAGTATACGGTAAGGCTTTGGCACGATTTTGAAAATTGTCGCCAAGACCAAAATGACCCGTTTACTGCGCATCATGATGTCGCAAAATCCCATTATTATTCTAAACAAAGAACGTCTATGTAAAGAAGAAAAGGTTCCATACAAGTAAAATGCTATTACCCGTTAGAATGCAGAGGGAAAATTTGTCAAGAAATTTGGCGACGGAACCTGGCGGCCAGAATTTCTCTCTTCGCGATGTGTACAGGAAATTGAGAAACACGTGTTAAGAAGAAACGCTCTTTGACAAAAAGAAAACTACGAAAATCCGTTTTTAAAATTATTGCGAAAAATCCACGCAATAATTTTAAAAACGGATTTTCGTAGTTTTTTTTTCCCCTGAAAATAACTAATCCATGAATTAATTTACTTGCGCCAAAAAATATTTTCTTTTCCTTTAGAGTTTAGCCACTTGCGCTAAGACTAAACTTCACGGTTGCGGTGCCGTGCGCTACAATATAACAAGCGGTAAAGTGTCTCATTTACGCCGCTCCGCATCTGCAAGTGCAATCCAGAGCTGTAACTCGAGAAATAAACAATCTCGTTGTTAGGCGACGTGTGCACCACGTTATTTTCATTTTTGCAATAAATGCTTATCGACGTGGTGTTCACGTCGCTCACGGTTTGAGACAAAAGCATCTCGACATGCGTGGCACGTCTTTTTAGCGCAAGTCGTTCAAGAAATTTTAAACGATATTCATTTTATGAACTCTTGATAACGTGACCTTCGAACTTCGACACCGGTTTCGATCTTCGGCGACAGATATATCAGACATGCACAGCTGTTTCCCTCTATGATGGAACGGAGCCACGTCTGTTGCAGAAAAGTTTTCCTTCTTTACAATACATATTCTTTGATTCTAACCTCCATGGTACCGTATACTAGGATTAAACCCATTTTGTTTTATACGAGAACAGGTACTTTCTTTAGTTCATGCACTGCACATGCGATTCTCGAGAATACTGGAAAACCAAAAGTTGCGGGAAAGTTGCTTTGCCTTTCTAAAAGACAATCAAATTGGAGCTGCGAAAATTGGCTCTATGCCAGCTACCCGAATGACACTCACGTGATACATAATTCGCCAAAAAAGTTATCTCTTCCGACGTCGGCGCAAAAATCGCTTTTTTTGGCGGCATCGTTGTATGAACTTCCCTGACTTTCCCAGATTTTGACAAAAATACTTAAATTCCCTGACTTTTCCCTGAATATTTTGGTCAATTTTCGAATTCCCTGACTTCTCCCGGTTTTCCAGGTAGCGTGGCAACCCTGTGTATGTTGGAATCCATATACTTCAATAAAAGATTTTATAGGAACTGTTTTTGCAAAGATTTAATACTGAAAAATATTAGGTACACATGGAAGTTCACAGTTCCAAGGCTGCGGGTCCATGGGAGAATTCATTCTCCTTTGACTGAGTGGAAAATTTTTTTTAAAAAAGGAGAACACATTTATAAGCAAAAATAATGGCTTATGAGTATTAATATAAAATAAATTTTCTAAAGTACAGAAAGATATGTTGCACTAATGGAATTATTTTCATTTATTTTAATTCAAATAAATCCATATTATTAACATTCCTTAGCACCATATTACCTTCAAATTAAATAAAGTTAATACGCTAAATTACTGTAAAATTACATTAAAATAATGTATTAACATCAATATTGAATTACAAAGCATATTTACAAATAGATTTTTTTATATACATACATATAAAGGTGTTTCAAACTTCAAAGCCAGATCATACTGATTATTATTACCAGATACATACTTCACATACTGTTCAGTTGCTTCATCAATAATTCCCTATCTTTTATGATCTTCATTGCTTGATCTCGTTCCTTTTTACTTAGTTTTTTCCCTTTATATTTAGCAGCAGCAATATTTCGATATGCTTCCATAACCTGCAGAAAGAAATATGTGTATAAAAATACAAGAACTTCTGTCTACAAATAATACATCATTTCATAAAGTCATGGATGAAATGTAAGAAATAAATATACAGATGGATGAGAATGCCATTTTACATTGAACAAACGTATGGAGAAGGGAAGGTAGCTTAATTTTTATACAATTTAATTGGGAAATTAATTATTTTCTACTCTACATAAGTTTTGAATAGTAGAAAAACACATTTTAAACATTCTGCACTTCCCCAAAACTACAAGAACACAAGGCCACCATATGAGAAACCACAAATTTCTTCAGATATGAATTGAAATTACCATGCCCAGTTAGAAATTTAGTAATTTCAAAATTACAGAAAAATTTTGATTGAGTTTATTATTATTTTATTTTCCATTCTTAAATTTTATTCTATTGTTAACAAGTCAATTGAATACGAAATGCATTTGTTTCTTCCGACTTCTACAGTTTAACTTGAAATGAAGACAAATTGACATTGCTATCTTTGGATCAAGAAGTAAAATTTATTAAGTTCATTGAAAAAAAATTTCAAAAATTCTGGATTTTATTAAAGATCAATTCCCAGGTCTAGGAAAAAAAAAGCACTGAAAATATTATTGTTATTTTCCATGTCATATATTTCCGAGACAGGCCTTTCAACTATAGTTTATATTAAAACAAAGAAATGCAAGATCCTGAAAAATTTAGATGAGGAGACGGAAATGGATATATTATTTATTTGTTCTAATATTGCAGATATCTGCAGAGGTCAACAAGGTTAAATATCACATCAAATTTTAGAATGTTTTTAAATAAATATATGTATTTTGTTCTTTAATAAAAGTTAAATTTTGAAGCAGGGGTCGCCAACTCCACATCTGCAGCATGGTTCCTTTCCCCCTGTTATCTTTAATACTGGAGTTACTTTTGCAAGCAATGTCATTTTTCCCATTGTGCCTTGATATCGGAAAGGTTGGCTATCCCTGCTTTAAAACTCATATTCTATACAAAACAATTTCAACAATTAGTGTTCCCTGACTTAAAAAGTCCAAGAAACACAATTGTAAATCATCTTTAGGTTTAGTTAGATTCTGTTATTCAAATATGGCAAAGGCTTACATTTCAGGTAAGAGAGGAGATATGCCTTCATGGAGGACTTATGGAAAATGTGCTCATATTCAAGCTACACATAGGGAAAACCCTGAAAAACCAACTATGCAGCCAGCCCATTCACCTATGATTGAACTTCCAATATTCAGCAGTCTTAACCACTTGGCCACTGGTCGTGCCAAATTTCTCTAAAGTGATCTGTTTGAATACAAACAACAACTTTTAACATTACTTTTTTAAGGCCACAAACTCCCTCCATAGGTGATCAAAATCATCTAGAACCAGGATGTTTGCCTTAGAAAGTTTTTACTTTTAGTTCATCAGAAAAACTTTTGTTAATTGTAATATTTAATAATTTGTAAATGGTAACATTTAATATTTAGTAACTTGTAATTGGCAACACTTTGGATACATATATGAAAATAGAACTACAGTGTCTCAAAAAAGTGATGGGACACTTGTGCTTTACAAAAGGAAACTGCAATAAAATAAATTTAAAAAACATGTAAAATTTTTTGTGGGTGTGTTTCATACTTAAATTTAGTAACAATTATTACATAACATACATTTTCTCAAAATATTAAAATATTAATTTAATAAAAATACAATTGTTTAGAACGGAGCAAAAAATGGCTCACTTAAGTGATGGGACACTTACTTTTCCATCAAATATTTATCCAAAAATTTTACTTTTTAAAAGGTTTTAATATTTTGTTGGATTTCCTTTTACTTTTAAAACATGATTTAATCTTCTTGGGATGGATTCGACTAATTTTTTTGTGATTTCTGGAGTGATTTTACCCCATTCTTCTTGAAGCACCGATTTTAATTGTTGTTTTGAAGAAATGGTGTGTTTGCGAATTCTTGATTCCAATTCTTGCCAAATATTCTCTATGGGATTTAAACTGTGGAGATTGTGGGGTGTTTTTTATTATTTCAGGACAGTTATACAGCAGCCAGAGTCTAACGTTCAAAGCAGTGTGCTTGGGGTCATTGTCCTGGTAGAATTTAAAATCGTTATGAAGGTTCAATTTTCGTGCTGAAGATTTCAAATTTTGATTTAAAATGTCAATATACTTGTACTGATCCATTATACTGTCAATAAAAACAAGATTACCAACTCCAGCGGACGACATACACCCCCATACCATAACTCCTCCTCCACCATGTTTTACTGTTGGCACCAAGTTCTGTTTGCGAAATTCTTCCCTGGGTTTTCTCCACACCAAGATTCTACCGTCAGAACCAAATATATTAAATTTACTCTCATCAGCAAATATAACTTCATTCCAGTAATCAGAATTCTTATTTATGTTGGATTTTGCGAAAGCCAGTCTGAGTTTTCTATTCTTTTCACTTACGAAGAATTTTTTCCTGGCTGCTCTACCGTGATATCCAGCAGATCGAATTACTCTTCTAATAGTCTCAGGAATTAACAATTACTCCATATAATGCTTGTAAATCAGCAGCAACTTTAGGAGCACTCATTCTTGGATTTTTTTTTAATATTTCGAACGATAATTCGCTTTATTCCATTGGATAGCTTTGATGGTCGGCCAGGTCTCTTTTTATCCTGAATCATATGATTCTTTTTATATCGTTTAATGATATTGAAAACTGTTGAATGACTCACGTTAACTGTTTCAGCAGGTTTCTCTAATAGATTTTCCACGTTCAATATGCAAATTAATAACTAATTTTCGAATTTCAGGCAAAGTTTCTTTTCGTTTAGCATTCATGGCTGCACAGAGCTAAAAAACACAAAAATTCCAAAACAAACTGGAGAGAAATACTGCAGACGATTTTATAAATTATTGCCAATTGCTTTTGAGTAAAAATAAAAACCCCAAAAATATTTTTATTGCTTACTTCAGACGATTTTTTTTGTTGCATAGTACGTAGTGTCCCATCACTTATGTGAGCCATTTTTTGCTCCGTTCTAAACAATTGTATTTTTATTAAATTATATTTTAATATTTTGAGAAAATGTATGTTATGTAATAATTGTTACTAAATTTAAGTATGAAACACACCCACAAAAAATTTTACGTTTTTTAAATTTATTTTATTGCAGTTTCCTTTTGTAAAGCACAAGTATCCCATCACTTTTTTGAGACACTGTATGCTGGTAAGGCAGTTCTCTGTGATTATACATTCTAAGATTGTAAATAAATAGTTATTAGAGAAAACAGTTCAGCTGTTGAAGAGAATATCAGGGGAACAGAACAAGGAGTTAATACACAGAAAACAGATGTAAAATTATATGATTCCAGATATTCTCAAGGGCAAAGTTTAGAAGATGATCAACTACCAAACTCTGCTAGAAACAAAGAACGGTGAGCTAAGAACTAGAAGTGGGAGAATGATTAGAAAGCTGGCCAGGTATTTGGACTGATTTTAGACTGTTAAAACTTTTGAACTATTTAAAAAAACGGAAGAATGTAATATTTAATAATTTGTAAATGGTAACATTTAATATTTAGTAACTTGTAATTGGCAACACTTTGGATACGGATTTGAAAAATAGAACTAGGCTGGTATTGCAGTTCTCTGTGATTATACATTCTAAGATTGTAAATAAACAGTTTCTAAAAGCTAAAAGTGTACCCTCATAATGATATATGGTGTTAGGAAAATTTTGCTTTCAAAATGGAAAGTTTAAAACCACCGAGCCAATGAAATTTGATGGAAATCTAGCTTCGAATTGGCAGAGATGGCTGCAATCATTTGAAATATATGAAGTAGCTAGTGGATTACATAATAAAGAAGAGAAGTAAGAGTTAATACTTTTCTTCATGTAATAGGAATTTGTGGTCTTGAAATATATAATACATTTCTTATAGAAGAGGGTAAAGAAATTAAATTAAGTGAAATTAAAACAAAATTTACGGAATATTGTATTCCTAAGAAAAATATTACATATGAAAGACATTTATTCTTTACTAGAAATCAAACCGCGTCAGAAACCATAGATGAATACATAACTGACCTTCGAAATAAAGTTAGAACATGCAAGTTTGCACAATTAACGGATAGTTTTATAAAGGATAAAATTGTTTGTGGTATTAAAGATGATGTAGTGAGAGCAAGATTGTTACATGAAACAGAATTAACATTATAAAATGCTTTTGATATATGCAGATCTGCTGAAATAAATGCATATCAAATGAAAATCATAAAAGATGAGGAAACTGCTGTAAACTTAGTGAAAAAGAAACTAAGTAAACATAATAAGAATACCTACAAAGAGGTAAATATCGATAAACAAAAGACAAAAGTTTGTTCTAAATGTGGAACATCTCATGAGTATCGAATGTGTCCAGCATATGGAAAAATCTGTCATAAATATAAAAAGGCAAATCATTTCGCGAATCAGTGTAAAAGCTATATAATAAAAAATGAAGCAGTCAAGGTAAACAAAAAAGATAGACAAATTAAATTAATAAATCATGACTCTGAGGAAAAGTTAGAATTTTATGTTGGCACATTAAACCTTAATTCAGATAACAAGGAAGAGAAATGGACTGTTGACGTTAATGTAAATAAAAGTAAACTAAATTTGCAGTTAGATACTGGAGCAATGTGCAATGTTATTTCTAAAAGCAAAGTGAAATTGCTAAATGTTCCGATACAGAAGTCTGAAATTAAAAGATTAGTTACATTCTCTGGGAATAAAATGGATACTTTAGGAAAAGTAGTACTTAACTGCCAATATGGGAAAAATAATTATGTTGTGGAATTCCAAGTTATTGACAAAGAAGTACCTTCTATATTAGGATTAAAATCATGTTTGCAACTAGGTTTGATTCAGAAAGTAATGTCTGTTTACACTGAAGACTTACTGGAGGAATACAAAGATGTATTTGAAGGCTTAGGTTGTTTGAATGGAGAATATAAAATCCAGTTAAAACAAGATGTAACACCAGTCATTCATCCTCCAAGAAAAATACCTATAGCTATACGTGATAAAGTTAAAAAAGGATTACAAAGAATGGAAAATTTTAAATGTTATTGAGAAAGTAAGAGAACCAACTGAATGGGTAAATTCAATGGTCACAGTTGTCAAACCGAACAAAATAAGAATATGTTTAGATCCTAGAGATTTAAATAAAGCTATAAAACGAGAACATTATCCGATGTTAACCATTGACGAAGTTGTCACTAGAATGCCTAACGCAAAAATATTTTCTGTTTTAGATGCTAATAGTGCTTTTTGGCAAATCCAGCTTGACGAAGAAAGTAGTAATTTGTGTACATTCAATACACCTTTTGGCAGATAAAAATTTAAAAGATTACCTTTCGGCATATGTTTAGCTGCAGAAATTTGCCAAAGAAAATTAAGCCAAATAATAGAAGGTCTAGAAGGCGTTGAATGTATTATAGATGATATCTTAATATGGGGATCTAATGAAAAGGAACATGAGCTACGACTTAAAAAAAGAACTCTAATGGAGAATATAAAATCCAGAGAGCACGAGAAAATAATTTGAAGTTCAATAAGGCTAAATGTAAAATAAAAGTTAATCGTGTGAATTATATAGGGCACGAGTTAAGTGACAATGGACTAAAACCTGATTTTTCTAAAGTGGAAGCAATTGTTAAAATGCCAGAACCTACAGATGTGCCTTCGCTACAAAGATTTTTGGAATGATTAATTATTTAGCCAAATTTATTCCTAACTTAACTACTATTACTGCACCATTAAGACAGTTACTTGAGAAAAATGTTCTCTGGCACTGGACTGAAAAGCATCAAAAAGCTTTCGAAACACTTAAAGAATTGATTGCAAAAGCACCCGTATTAAAATTCTATGATGTTAATAAGGATGTAACTCTTTCAGTAGATGCAAGTTCTGAAGGATTAGGTGCTGTTTTACTACAAGAAAACTAACCAATTGCTTATGCTTCCAGAGCTCTAACAAAAAGTCAGAAAAATTATGCTCAGATAGAAAAAGAGCTTTTAGCTATTACTTTTGGATGTTCTAAATTTCATCAATATATATATGGCAAACGTATTACAGTTGAAACTGATCATCGACCATTAGAAAGCATAACTAAGAAACCTCTTTTTAAAGCACCACAGCGATTGCAAAGAATGCTGTTAAATTTACAAAAATATGATCTAGATGTACGATACAAAAAGGGGAAAGACTTATTAATAGCAGACACTTTGAGTAGAGCATATTTGAATACAACAGAAGATAATGATGAAGATACAGAAATTTGTACACTGATTCCAGCATCTGATGACAAAATTTATGAATTGAAGAAAGAAAGTGAATGTGATGCTACACTACAGTGCTTAAAGAAATATATTCTGAGAGGCTGGCCAGAAAGGAAACATCAGGTAGAACCTCAAGTCAAAGTATTTTGGGACTACAGAGATGAGTTGACAATGGAAAATGACTTATTTTTCAAAGGAGGAAGGGTAATTATTCCTTTATCTATGCAAAAGGAAATGTTAAATTTAATTCATGAGGGTCATTTTGGTATAGAAAAATGTAAGAAAAGAGCTAGAGAGATGTTTTGTTTTGGCCACTTATGAACAAGCAGATAGAAGATAAAATTTCAAAATGTTCTATATGTAATGAATACCAGAACAAAAACATAAGAGAGCCTATGATACCACATGAAATTCCCAATTTACCTTGGTATAAAGTTGCGACAGATTTATTTGAGATTAACAAAGATGTATATTTATTAATTGTAGATTACTAATATTCCAACTTTTTTTGAAATCTCCAAACTACCGGATACTCGAAGTCAGACAGTGATCAGTTACATGAAATCTCATTTTGCAAGATACGGTATACCATTGATAGTGATATCTGATAATGGACCTCAGTTTGCAAGTAAAGAATTTGCAGAATTTGCAAAGAAATACCAATTTAAACATATAACAAGCAGTCCATACCATCCACAGTCGAACGGATTAGCAGAGCGTTCAGTACAAACGGCGAAGAAATTGTTAAAGAAAGCTCAAGCAGATCATGCTGATCCTTATTTAGCATTGTTAGCTCATAGGAACACTCCAACTAATGAGATGCTAGGATCACCAGCTCAACGACTTATGAGTAGAAGAACAAGAACGAATCTTCCTACATCTGAAGAATTACTTAAACCTCAAGTTGTGAGAAATGTAAAAGAAAAAATCAACCAAGAAAGAACTAAACAGAAGTCATATTATGATCGTCATACAAAAACATTACCATTGCTAAATAAAGGAGATTGTGTTCGGGTATATCAAGATAATCGCTGGAAACCAGCAGTTGTAGAAGAAGTGCATAAGACGCCTAGATCATATATATACTTAGATCAGGTGGATCAGTATTGAGAAGAAATAGAAAAGATATTAGAGAAAACAGTTCAGCTGTTGATGAGAATATCAGAGGAACAGAACAAGGAGTTAATACACAGAAAACAGATGTAAAAGGATATGATTCCAGATATTCTCAAGGGCAAAGTTTAGAAGATCAACTACCAAACTCTGCTAACTCAGAAACAAGGAACGGTGAGCTAAGAACTAGAAGTGGGAGACTGATTAGAAAGCCGGCCAGGTATTTGGACTGATTTTAGACTGTTAAAACTTTTGAACTCTTTAAAAAAACGGAAGATGTAATATTTAATAATTTGTAAATGGTAACATTTAATATTTAGTAACTTGTAATTGGCAACACTTTGGATACAGATTTGAAAAATAGAACTATGCTGGTATTGCAGTTCTCTGTGATTATACATTCTAAGATTGTAAATAAATAGTTTCTAAAAGCTAAAAGTGTACCTCCATAATAATATATTAATTAGCATACTTAATTTTTGCATAATTTAAACTACTAAAAATATACTTCTAAATGTCATATTTATAGTTTTTTTGATAAGTTCATTTTAAATTTAAAAAAAAATATAATTTGACAACAACCTAAAAATATCACTTTAAAAAAAATTTTTTTTAGAGCCTCCTTTTTTTTAAATTTATGTTCTATACATACTTTTTAAATGCATTAAATATCTGAAAGAGAATATTAAACATTAAGATATAAAACAAAATTCTTTAACTACATACTCTAGCATCAGCTTCTTGCAGTTTTTTCTTAACTTCTTGTTTGGCCATTTCTGCCTTGGCTAAGGCTAAAAGCTTCTTTTTCTGCTTAATATTATGCTCACAAACAGGTATTAAGGCAGCTTGTAGCCTTTTTAGTTCATTAAATACTTCATCAGAACTTCTAGATTCACCATGATTAGCTTCTAAAGCACCTGTAAGGAATAGTAAAATGCTGACAAAGATCCAACATTTGTCACACTAATTGATGGCAGAGGGGGGCTTTTAATTATGTACAACTAAACAGTTTTAATTTAGTACAGCTGAAATAAAAATAAAAAGAAACCTCATTAAGAGTTTCATTTTGGTTTTCTGTAGAAGCAAATTTGCATTAAATATTCAACAGTAATATTTATTTATAAGAAAAATTGATCATTTTCTGAGTTTGTCATCTTTGGGAAGAGCTCATTATAAGAGATTTCACTCTACGTAGATAGATATACTGATAAAATTTATATTTTTTTCCTGACTTCAGATAAAAAATAATTTGAAATCAAAATTCAAAAGGGGGAAAAATTAAAAGAACAAAGGCAACTAATAAAAAAATTTAATTAGAACTAAGCTACCTGTAAATTAATAAACATCTTATTATAACATTTAATAAATATCTGTTTGAAAATATAAAGTGGAAACAAATAGTGAACCTTAGATTTCAAAATATATGGGATTACCGATTAAAGTTGGGATTAAAAAATCTAACTAATACGTCTAAGTTACTCCATCCATTTAAAACACATTCAAGAAAGTTTAGGCAATCATTCGATATTACAGCACTAATTTGTGCTAAAAGCTTTCTCTCTAGATTTAATCTCTCAGCTTCAACAACATATACATATGTTATGCTTCAGTTTCTCTCTGTGAGCCCACTATATCAAATGTGATGCAGAAGCAAACCATCACTGGTGGCCCATTCATTGTGAAGAAATATTTTATTTGAAATATTAAATGCGCATGAATGATGTTAGATTGTAATAGTGAAACGTAATGGCATAGCTTGAATATTAATTTTGTTTGTATGAGTATTCTTTATTATTTTATGCTACAAAAGTAAACTGAACGATGTTTATAATGAGCATTAAGAATTTAGAAATATTTCACAAAGTACAATCAGTTTAAAATTTTGCCCAGAAATATGAAAATATGACATGCAATGATATTTTAAGTTTTCTTCTTCATTCCTGTATGAAAATAATTTAAGTATGCAAATATAATCATTATTAATAACACTGCAATTTAACTTCTTAATTTTAATTTTGATTTTGATTGTAAATAATATAATTTTTCTGCTTATATTATAAAAAGTAACACTTGAATAATATATGCAAGAACCCAAATATTCTATAAAAAGCAGATGTCATAAGAATAAATTTTGCATACTTGGCTTAACTGAAAACACACTCAGGCACATGATGACATTTAGCACTCCAAAGTCATGGGTGCATGCGGAAACTTCTTTCTCCTGGTGTCAGAAGCGAAAAATTTAATTCACACAATTTTAAACTAATTTACTTACATCTGACATCATTTTCTCTATACATAAATTTATACAGTGAAGGTTTAGAAAGTTGAGGTAAGTGATTTGTATCTAACTAGCCTTTGTCTGGTTTTTAAATGTACCGGAAAACAAATGTCCTCTCGACAAACGCCGTATCCAAGTACCACTCAACAAAGATCCAGTATCCAGGAGAAACATTACATTAAAAACCTGCACAGAATTATCAACCTAATTTTTCTGAATGGTAACAGTGCTGATATCAGCAACAATGGCAACCATGATATATCAGCAACAATGGCTTTGTGCTATTGTTGCTGATATGAGAAAGCATTATTGATTTGATGGGATTTCATCAAAAAACGTAAAATAAAAAAAATCGCATTCAAATTTTGAAAAGTTGCTTTGAGGTGCACTGGCTCTTGTCTAGATGCATTTATGTACCAAATTTTGTAGCCTTGGGTCATTAGGTTATGCACAGCACGAATGATAGACACACACAGACTCTTCTTTTTATTATATGTAGAGATTATTAAGGTATTGGGAAAATTTTAAAAATATTCTAGCAATTTGATTTCAAATACAAAGAAATACACCATGTTTATTTTTTCTTACTTTAACCACTCCTGAGCAGTATGGCTTTTTACATTAATTCATGAAAACCTGTATTTAAACAACATTTATTTCGTTAAATTTGTAGAATAACTTATGTTAGTCTCTCATTTCATAAACTTCTGTTCATTAAGATGATATTTGCATCATTAAAGAAAGTGAAAAAAGCAGACTATGTTTAATTATAAGCTAATAGACACTAAGTGACTAAAAGTCTCCTAACTGACTAAAGTCAGTGATGCCAAAACACTTAAAATCACCAAAAAAGGTATGTTAATTACATGTTGTGGGGTGTGAGAGCCATATAAGAATTCTCTGTTCAACAGGAAGGAATCTGTTATCAAAGGAGAGAAAATCCCCATGTCACAGGTGGTCCTGTTATCAGTTATTACGCTCTTTAGTTCATATATACAGAAATGAATGTTAAGACTTGCATTAATTGGCAAGCTGGCAACCAAAACTGCTGAATTTTTTTTTTCCCATAATCTATCAATTTTATGTGGACAGTGCATATCTCATTGCTTATGTTTAAATATAAGACACTAAAACTCATGAAGCAATATTTTTTGTGAAAGCAGGCTTTTTCAGGTAGAGGACGAGATCCTTCTGGTGTTAAGATATGCTAAAAATTCTAAGTTATCAACACCCAGGATCGACTTAGAAATTTTGATTCTTAAACCATATTTATCTAATCTATCGAAAACAAGTTTCAAGTGATGTCTGTGTTGTTCTTCTGAGGCAGAAGCAATTAATATGTCATCGAGATATGGAAAAGTAAAGTCCAAACTTTGAAATGCTTCATGTATAAATCTTTGAAAAGTAGCTGGAGCATTTCGCAAACCAAAGCTCATTACATTAAATTCACAGAGGCCGAATGGCGCTTTTCTGTTTGTCCTTTTCGGCTATAGGAATTTGGAAATAGGCTTTGAAAAGATCAATTTTGGAAAATATGTTTTTGCCTTTTGAAATGTGGTTAAAATCGTTAATCCTAGGGCTAGGGTATCTGTCAGGAATAGTTATAGCATTAAGTCTTCGACAGTCTCCACAGGGAAGAAAATTTCCATCTCTTTTAGAGACTAAGTGGAGAGGATTAGCCCATGGAGATGTAAACTGTTTTATTATATTGTTTTCCAACATATACTGAAATTCTTGTTTGGCAATCTGTAATATTTTACTGTCTAGCTGTCTTGGCTTGGAATACACCGGTTGACCTTCAGTTAAAATGTGATGCTTAACATTGTGCTTAGCATTTATTATCAAAAGATTAGGTTTTGTCATATTCGGATACTTGGATAACAGATCATGATATTTTAACGTATCATGTACTAAACTTATATCATTCATTTTGGAGATGGATGTAATGTCACATTGAGTAGTAAGGTTAGTTACACCATTAATTAATCTTTTGTTGTTTAAATCAATTAATGACTTGAAATGGTCCAAAAAATCTGCTCTGATTATGCCTTTATTAATTTTGGCAATAATGAATGGCCATTGAAAAGATTGACGAAGGCCAAGATCAAGCATTAAAAATTTTACGCCATAAGTGGGAATTTCTGTGCTATTGGCGGCATACAATTTGAAGTCACTTTAAAGTTTATCTTTTTTTGTAGCAGGTAATAAACAAGCATCTGTGCCGGGATCAATCAGAAAATACAAACCCATGTGTTTGTCAGTCACAAATATTCGGTGTTTGCGGCCATCCTGAACATAACCTGCAGCAAAATCAGCCGCTAATTCCGCTGCTGGTTTAAGTTTTCCAACTTCTTTTGACCCCAAGAGCAGTTAGGTTGACACTTTTCAGGAATGCATTTTGAGCCAAACATGTAATGGTAATAACAATACTTTCCATTTGTATTAAATCTTTTACGTTTATTTACTACTTTTGCTCTCTGTATCTATCGCTACTATGATTCCGAGACTGAGACTGGTAAGAAACATTTAAAGTTTATATTTGTTTTTCCACAGAAGAAATTTTTAGCAGTAACTCATCAAATTTAAATTTTTGCCAGCGGAATAAATTTCAGGTTTTGAATTCCTTTCCATTATTTTGTCGGCCATTAAAGCTATTTTGTCCCCTCATCGGAAACCAGTAAAATATTTTTTATCGAGTCAGGCATTTTTTTAAACCACAATGCTTTGAGTACTTTATCTGAAAAATCATCAGTAGCGAGCGATCTCATTTTTTGAAGTAACTGACTGGGTTTCATATCCCCAAGGTCAAGGCCAGTGACTAAGCGCTTAATTTGCTTATTTTCGCTCTCTTTCAAAGTGTTTAACAGTTTTTCTTTAAGGCATGTTTATCCGTAATGATATCCCAAATAATTTCAACATATTTTGGCTCTAGTTGAGATATTACATAATTAAATTAGGTACTATCAACAGTTATTGCATTAATTTCGAATTGAGCTTCTATTTGAAAAAACCAAATTTCAGGATTTTCTAGCCAAAAAGGTGGAATTTTAACACTCACCTTGCAAGTTTCCAGCGTTGATATTCCTTCCATAATCCAATGTTATGGTCACCAGTCTTTCATTGTTGATTTGATGAATAAGCGAAATCAAAACTGATCAGCCAGAGCATTTCATAAGTGAAATAAATGCTTATTTTGGTCTTAAAAGAAACAGCCTATTTATTTTTACAATTTCCATTCTTATTTGCAACATGTTGCTTATTTTTTACATAAAAATATAACAAACTTTTAAGAAATAAAGCTTACACAACGCTTATCATGGAACACTCCAAGTAACAACGTTTTTAGCTCAACGTGTTGTTTAACGGCGATCTTAATAACTATGCAAAACATTACATCATGTTGCTACTTAGGAAGTCTTAATAATTATATAGAAACATTAAATTATGTTCCACTACAATGGCACTTACGATTTGCGACCTGTTTTCTGTTTCTACTTAAACCTCTACTAGTCCAGTTTGTGAAATTTTCAGCTTTAGAAATGCTTTTTAAACTGTCTTTTTTTTTTTTTTTTTTTTTTCCAGTTCTTTATCTTTCAACTGTTTTTCTTGAATTTTTTAGAACTATCTCACTGGAAA